CTGCCTTTCTTCAAGGTGTTAAAGAGGGCCGACACATTCGAGTGGGACCGGGAGTGTGAGGAAGCTTTCCAGCAGCTGAAGGAGTACTTAGTCTCTGATATTGTTTTGTCGAAACCCAAACCGGGTGAGACTTTGTATTTGTACCTAGGCATTTCCCAAAACGCTGTAAGCTCTGTTTTGATAAGAAATGAAGACGGCCAGAGGCCTATTTACTATGTGAGCAAAGCATTAAATGGGGCTGAAAGCCGGTACACTGCCATTGAGAAAACGGCATACGCGCTTTTCATCACGGCCAAAAAACTGACCGCATACTTCCAAGCTCACACCGTGGAAGTACTGACCGATCAGCCACTTGGACCGGTCCTTCGAAATTCGACCTCCTCGGGAAGGTTGATCAAGTGGGCGATGATGCTCACCCAGTTCAAAATAGAATATAAACCAAGGACTGCAATTAAGGGTCAAGCTTTGGCAGACTTCCTCGTTGAACTGACCGGTCTAGAGCCCGTAGCCGGACCCTCCCATACGGTCGAACCGTGGTGGGACATGGCCGTTGATGGAGTCTCTGGACCGAAGGGATGCGGGGCCGGCATAGTCTGTACTACCCCGGAAGGATTCAAGATCTACCATGCCTTGATCTTCAACTTCAAACTCACCAACAATGAGGCGGAGTATGAAGCGTTGGCCGGTGGCCTCAGATTAGCCCGGACACTCGGAATAAAAAGGATGAAGCTCCGTTCCGATTCGAGTCTAGTGGTTGGACAGGTCAATTGTGAGATGGAAGTAAAAGAGGATCGGCTGGCCCGGTATAGTGATCTGGTCCGAGCGCTTCTAAGGGAATTAGAAGAGTTTCGTCTTACTAGGATACCCCGGTCGGAAAACGCTGATGCAGATATGCTTTCAAAATTGACACAAGCCTGCCCGGAGCATGTGTCGAAGTTGGCAAAAATTGAGATCATGGACGTACCGAGTACAGATCGGTTTGAAATCGCGGATATCCAACCGGGCCAAAATTCGGCTACCGGGACAATTGGAGCAGATGATGACTGGAGGCACGATCTCATGGAATATTTGGAGACCGGTCAGAAACCGGATGACGAGGAACGGGCCAGGAAGGTGGTCCTGCGGGCTCCACGTTTTCAGGTAATCGATGGTCACTTGTACAAACGTGCCATCGGTGGACCTCTCTTACGTTGCCTTACCAACCCAGAGGCTGAACGGGTAATAGCTGAGGTGCATGAGGGAGTTTGTGCGGCCCATCAAATGTCTCGCACCCTGGCTCAAAGGATAATATTGCTTGGCTACTACTGGCCGACCATTGTGGGGGATTGTGAGCGGTATGTCCAGAGATGTAGGATGTGCCAGGTATTTTACAAACGTCCCGGCAGACCGGCCACATACTACCAACCAACGTCTAACGTCATACCATTTGCCCGGTTTGGGATTGACATTATTGGAGCCTTCCCGGTCGCCCAAGGCGGGAAGAAGTTCATGATGGTGGCTATTGATTACTTCACTAAATGGGTCGAGGCCGAGGCAATGGCTACCATAACCGTGCGGCAGTGTGAGAAATTTGTTTGGAAAAACATTATCACCCGGTTTGGTGCCCCGAAGATGATTGTTACCGACAATGGTCCGAAGTTTCGTAACCCCCGGTTCACTGAGTACTTGGCTAGTTTTGGAATCAAGCACAGCAAGGCCTCAGTAGCTTATCCACAGGGAAATGGCCAAGTTGAAAATGCTAACCGGACGATAGTGGACGACCTAAAGAAGAGGTTGGGAGAAGAAGGCCATAAATGGTTGGAAGCTTTGCCTCACACGGTCTGGGCGCATAGGGTGACTTCAAGAAGGGCAACCGGAGAAACTCCATTTGTGCTCACTTACGGATGTGAAGCTCGGTTTCCAGTTGAAGCGGAAATTCCAACATTTAGAGAAACCGTGTATCAGCCCGGCCAGAACGAGGTCGACCACCTAGCTGAGTTGAATCTGGTGGAAGAACGAAGGACCATAGCAGCTGTTAAGATGACCGGTTATCAGCAGTCGGTAAAGCGGTATCATGACAACCGGGTAGGACTGCGATACTTCCAGGTGCATGATGAAGTCTTGCGCAGGAGGGATGCTAGTAAGCCTAATGAGAGGGGCAAGCTGGCGCGTAACTGGGAAGGGCCCTATCGTGTAAAAGCAATTGTCAGACCGGGCACTTACCAGTTGGAGACTATGGAAGGTAGCCGGGTCGAGCGACACTGGAACTCTCACCACTTACGTAAATTTTATAGATAAAGTGTAACNGTTTTGAAGGAAAACTCAAGGTTTGCCTATCCACACGGGGCGTTGAGCCATTGTGGAAACAGGTCAGCCTTAAAGTCTTCCCGGCTGACTATCCAGTCTTTCGAAAAGACTTGGGTAAAATTGTATTCTAAGCCGGGTAAATACAGCCGGGCTGTTATTTATTAATCTAAACGGTTAAAGAATCCAAGATGAAGAGAAATGATGAGAAATGATAACATAAAGCATATTTTCATTAATATGTCAATGAAATACAAAAGTGCCCGGAGGTAGACCATTACATCATATAAAAAAAAGAAGAAGAGAGAAAATCAGATGAGGAAGGAAGGCCGGACGGATCAGATGCCCGGGAAGGGAGGTTCAGGCGCCTCGGAGTGCAGCTCGGGCAGAGAAAGAGCCTTTGGCTGAAAACTTTGGATCCTCTGCTGAAGGATGCCATAGAGGGCCTTCCGCTCCGAGTACTGGCCGCTTTCAAAGCCGTACGTTCCGATTTCATCGACGATCCCGGCCGAGACCTCGTACTTGTACAAGCCTTGGAAGAAACGGATGGCAGTCTCCCGGTCAGGCAACGCCTTAACAGCAAACTCCTCAGGCGTTTGAGTGGCCCAGGCAGCAGCAAGGGCGGCACGCTCCGATTGCTCTTTCTGCAGCTCATCTTCCAGCCGAGCGATTTCCTCGGCTGACCGGGCATTTTCGGCCTCCAGCTGATTGATCTTGGCCTGGGCCTGCTCATCGGCTTCTTTCGCAGCCTTGAGGAGACCATCGTGCTTGGCATAGAGCTGGCGGTAAACCGCACAGTGCTCTGTCCATTTGGCCTCTATCTTCTCTGCCTTGGCCCGGGCAGCCTGGGCTTCCTTCCGGCATTCGACCATCATGGCCTCCATCCGGGCCTTCTCCTCATCCATCGACTTCACCAGCTGGGCGAAGTACTCCTCCCCGATCCGGCCGACCTGCTTCAAAGACATCGAAAATTACTCAGAAAAGTATAAAAACGGTAAGTAGGCGGTGGGAGAGAAAAAGGGGCTACCTCATTCAGATCAGCACGGAATGCTCGGAAGAGCTCCTCGTTTGACCTGGACATTAGAGCAAGAGAACGAGGCACTATCGGCCCCTTGCCGGCATCGGAGGACTGGGCCCCCTGATGGGAAGGCTGGTTGACTTCCTTAGTCTTCCGCTTCTTTCGTTGAAGGGACCCCCCAGAAGTCTCCTCCTTGGCGTCCCTTTCCTCATTAGGCCGGTCTCCCACCCCCGCCTGGGACGTATGCCCAGTCTCACCCATCAGATTGTCGAACTCGAAGGTGTCTACGTTGAAGTAGATCTCCCCCGAGTGAATCGGCTGGCTGGTCCCTTGGTGAGACTGGGCCGGCAGATCATCCATCAAGAGTGGTTGGCTGGATGGAGGAATGAGTGGCTGAGCGGAGGAGGGCTCCTCAACCACGATTTGGGGGACGACAAACTTGGATTGAAACTTCACCACTGAAACAAAAAAAGGAACCGGTTAGAAGAATGCAGTTGAGAACAAATTAATTCAAATGAAAAATGAGAAGGTCGGTTGATTGACCTTCCTCCTTCTTCTTCACCGGGCATGAAGGACCGGCATTGGTAGTGGCCGGGGCTTTGGATCCCCTCGCCTGACGGATGGGGATGGCTTCGGGGATCACCCCGGGCAGAACAATCTCCGGTTCGGGGTCGGTCTCCCGGCCGGGGTAGACGCTCCACTTCCCAACATGGTACAGACCGCGGGTGGAGGCATCCCCGGTCCGGAGAGTGGCTTCCCAAGCAACCAGGTCATCGGCCTCCACTGGTTTGACCTGGTGCTTCATTCTTTTCCCCCAGACGTTTTGGGCAAAAGGAAAGGCACCCGGGGGGGAATTTGACGCAGACATATTTGTCTTTCCACTTCTTGTTGGAGGGTGGAAGACCACAAAGGAATGCTCGACCTTGGTGGGAAGACACCACCACGAATCCAAGGGTTTCCTTGGACCCGGGCCAAACATCGAACATATAATCAAAGAGGCGAAGAGAAAGAGGAATACGAAGAAACCGGCAGACGTTGATAAAGCTGCATAACAAACGGTGACCATTAGGGGCCAGCTGCCCGGGCATGATCCCGTAGGTCTCAAGGAAAAGGACTTTGAATGGGTGAATAGAGAACTCACCCAAGTCCTTGATCGAATGGTAATGGATCCCAATCGACGTGCCGGCATGGAGAGGTATAATGCTCTTCCACGTTGCCCGGTAGGTCAATTGATACCCATCAGGCATCAGATTACGCAGTTCGTGGACTTGGGGTTTCTGCATGTACGACGGTTGCTCTTGGAGCAACCGATCGTCTAGCTGAATGAGGCCCTTGTCCCCGGACTGGGCAACCGAGACCACTTGCGCCGCGGAAGAAGAGGGAGCGCAAGTGGAAGCATCAACCGGCTTCTTCTGTGGAGAAGTAGCCGGGTGCTCAGAGTCGGAGGATGAAGAAGAAGAAGAGGAACCAAAGGTGGGAGACCGGCCGCCAGAACCATAAGAATGAACGGAGGGGTTCTGACTATCCTCACGGTCTGACATGACTCAGAGAAGGAATGAAAGAAACTTACTTGGAGACGATTAGAAGACTCGGAGGACTCGGAAATAGTAGAAGCAGCCGGGCAGGTTTT